GAAAAAAAGAGGTGAAAAAAGAGGTGAAAAATTAGGTGAAAAAAAAAGGTGAGATCTCACCTCTTCACCTAAAAATTATTTTTATTGAATTCAGCACAAAATAATGAATTTCATTAGTTAGAAAAAATAACGCTAATTTTTTCTAAGAAAAATTTTTATTTTGTATGTAAAGACAGTAATGACAAACATTGAGTTTGAAACAGTTAGAAAGATAGACAATGACACCAAAGTGGTTAGAATAGGTGATTTAAACGTAAGATACTCAAAGAAATACAACAAATATTCTTTGTCAGACATTATATCTCCATCTGGAAAGAAAACAAACGACTGGGTTAGAAATGCTTCAACTCAGAAAATTTTGACAAGAAATCCTGAGCTTATGATATCAGTAGCATTTCATGGAACAAGAGCATATCTTATAGACAAAAGTCTTATACCAATAGTTTTGTTATGGTTAGACCCAGTTGTTGGATATAACTTCATAACATATGGTTCATTCGACTCAGAACGTTGCAGTGAAGGCTTACTTTATATCGTTCAGAAACCGAAGGACTTCAACACAAAAAGATATAAGATAGGAAGGACATATAATATAACTCAAAGATATGACAGTACAGTCAATAGAGTCAAGGTTGTGTTTGTTAATGATATGAGAGCTGCTGAAACAGAACTGCTTGAAGTTTTTGAGAAAATATATGGTGCTCCCACGAAAGGTAAAGAAACGTTTGAAGTAGATGAGATAGATAAAGCTATAAAATTATTTGACGAAGTTGCTGAAAAATACATGTAAAGCGTTTATTTTTGGTCTTTTGTGAAAGTCAGAAAATAACGCTAATTTTATTTTTATTTATTTTTTTATTTTGTATGTAAAGACAGTAATGACAACATTAGAGAACACAACAATAGTTATAGTCCATGAAGCTATAAATGAAGAATACGAATACATACAATATAACAAACAACTTCGCCTCATTCGTTCAGTCAAAGACGATATGTACCAAATGCAGAGTATAATGAATGCTCTTCGTTCTACAAAGCAAGCATATCATTGGTTTGAAAACCAACAGACAAAAGAACTTTTAGAAGAATTTCCTCATATGATTGCTTCCCTCGGAAAACCGAGAGAAGAGATTCCGTACGAAAATCGCAAGAATTTGGCTCCTGGTTTGAAAGGTTATTATGTTCATAGACTTTTAGTAAACGCTGTAGCAATGTGGGCTTCACCTCGTTATGCTTGTTATATTTTCATGATGTTAGATGAACTATATAAAGCAGAACGTGAAGAGATGGAAATGAAACTTCAAGCAAAAGATGAAGTCATTGAATCCAAAGACAAAAGCATACAGAAAAGAATACCGCGTTCGTACCAAAAGGAAAGGAAAAGAGTTATAAGTATATGATATATACTGAAGAGTTGGAGAAAGAAGAAGATAAAGATATGGTTATGTTGCATTTAGTCAGAAGAAACAACAAGAGCTTTTATGACTTAGCTAAAATATATAAATCTGACAGAAACTGGTTCTATCGTGAAAACTTACCGATTTCAATGACACCGAATGAAACAATAAAGGAAATTGTCAAAAATACTCTTCCTCAAACACACTATGACATCAAAGGTTGCACAATACTTACATTCAAAGAAGACTTAACATTACTGAAGGAAAAAATAACAGAATATTTCGATAACTTCAAAGAGGAAGAATAAAGTCACGACAACATTAACGATGAAGTCACGACAACATTAGCGAAGAGAGAATGAGGTGAAAAAAGAGGTGAAAAAACGGGTGAGATCTCACCTCTTCACCAAAAATATATTTTTGCTTATAAAGCTTCAGGGTCTATTTCTTCAACCATTTCACTTCCTTCGTCAATGTCAATAGAAGCTTCTTCAACCTTTGGTAAGAATTTCTGTATAACATCTTTGTTCGTTATTGTTTTCAGAGATGAAGGATAATATTTCACATTTGTTTCACCTTTCTTATATTCTTTCTGTTCGGAAAGATTTAAAGCAATACTGAAGAAGTCAATGTTAGAGTTCTTTATAACAGTATAGTGTATATCTTTGACATTCACGAAGAAACTCTTTTGTTTCAAAACTACTGCTAACTCTTGTGAAGTATAACGTTTGCGGTCAATGACGATAGCTAATGGTCTGACATACTGACCAAACTTAGATTCTTTCACAAACTTCTTGTTAAAGATAACATTAACATTTGAAGCATTATTGAACTCATTCTTGATGGCAGTAGCGAGAGCATTGTATGAAAAGAACTTGCAATCTTGCATGTGAAACGTATTCGGTCATTTTTTTAAAAATTAATTTTTTGTTAGAGATAAGAGCTAAAACTCGGTAAACAACTTCTTTATGTCTAGAAAATTCTATCTTGCCTTTTATTTTTTTCTCGCTGTGAAACGTATTCGGTCTTTTTTTTAAAAATTAATTTTTTGTTAGAGATAAGAGCTAAAACTCGGTAAACAACTTCTTTATGTCTAGAAAATTCTATCTTGCCTTTTATTTTTTTCTCGCTGTGAAACGTATTCGGTCTTTTTTTTAAAAATTAATTTTTTGTTAGAGATAAGAGCTAAAACTCGGTAAACAACTTCTTTATGTCTAGAAATTCTATCTTGCCTTTTATTTTTTTCTCGCTGTGAAACGTATTCGGTCTTTTTTTTAAAAATTAATTTTTTGTTAGAGATAAGAGCTAAAACTCGGTAAACAACTTCTTTAATGTCTAGAAAATTCTATCTTGCCTTTTATTTTTTTCTCGCTGTGAAACGTATTCGGTCATTTTTTTAAAAAATTAATTTTTTGTTAGAGATAAGAGCTAAAACTCGTAAACAACTTCTTTATGTCTAGAAAATTCTATCTTGCCTTTTATTTTTTTCTCGCTGTGAAACGTATTCGGTCTTTTTTTTAAAAAATTAATTTTTTGTTAGAGATAAGAGCTAAAACTCGTAAACAACTTCTTTATGTCTAGAAAATTCTATCTTGCCTTTTATTTTTTCTCGCTGTGAAACGTATTCGGTCTTTTTTTTAAAAATTAATTTTTTGTTAGAGATAAGAGCTAAAACTCGGTAAACAACTTCTTTATGTCTAGAAAATTCTATCTTGCCTTTTATTTTTTCTCGCTGTGAAACGTATTCGGTCTTTTTTTTAAAAATTAATTTTTGTTAGAGATAAGAGCTAAAACTCGGTAAACAACTTCTTTATGTCTAGAAAATTCTATCTTGCCTTTTATTTTTTTCTCGCTGTGAAACGTATTCGGTCTTTTTTTTAAAAATTAATTTTTTGTTAGAGATAAGAGCTAAAACTCGGTAAACAACTTCTTTATGTCTAGAAAATTCTATCTTGCCTTTTATTTTTTTCTCGCTGTGAAACGTATTCGGTCTTTTTTTAAAAATTAATTTTTTGTTAGAGATAAGAGCTAAAACTCGGTAAACAACTTCTTTATGTCTAGAAAATTCTATCTTGCCTTTTATTTTTTTCTCGCTGTGAAACGTATTCGGTCTTTTTTTTAAAAATTAATTTTTTGTTAGAGATAAGAGCTAAAACTCGGTAAACAACTTCTTTATGTCTAGAAAATTCTATCTTGCCTTTTATTTTTTTCTCGCTGTGAAACGTATTCGGTCTTTTTTTTAAAAATTAATTTTTTGTTAGAGATAAGAGCTAAAACTCGGTAAACAACTTCTTTATGTCTAGAAAATTCTATCTTGCCTTTTATTTTTTTTCTCGCTGTGAAACGTATTCGGTCTTTTTTTTTAAAAATTAATTTTTTGTTAGAGATAAGAGCTAAAACTCGGTAAACAACTTCTTTATGTCTAGAAAATTCTATCTTGCCTTTTATTTTTTTTCTCGCTGTGAAACGTATTCGGTCTTTTTTTAAAAATTAATTTTTTGTTAGAGATAAGAGCTAAACTCGGTAAACAACTTCTTTATGTCTAGAAAATTCTATCTTGCCTTTATTTTTTTCTCGCTGTGAAACGTATTCGGTCTTTTTTTTAAAAATTAATTTTTTGTTAGAGATAAGAGCTAAAACTCGGTAAACAACTTCTTTATGTCTAGAAAATTCTATCTTGCCTTTTATTTTTTTCTCGCTGTGAAACGTATTCGGTCTTTTTTTTAAAAATTAATTTTTTGTTAGAGATAAGAGCTAAAACTCGGTAAACAACTTCTTTATGTCTAGAAAATTCTATCTTGCCTTTTATTTTTTTCTCGCTGTGAAACGTATTCGGTCTTTTTTTTAAAAATTAATTTTTTGTTAGAGATAAGAGCTAAAACATTGCAGACAACTCCCCCATGTCTAGCAAATTTAACATTCGTCTCCAATTTTTATATATTTGGTTTAGAATGTTCGAAAATGCGTAATATGGTCATTAATATTAATTGAAAAGAACCTTGAATTAATTCAATCTGATCTCACAAAATACTTTAAATTACAAACTTTGTGGTTTGAATAGATAATTAGTATTAAACTCAAATAACTAGTTTATTTTTGAATAAAAATTCTTTGAATTCATTCAATTTTGTGAATTTTCCTTCAAAAATCAAGTTTAAATATCTTATTTGCCATATAATTATAAATACAATGAAACATATTCGAAATTGAAAAGAATGACTTTTTCTGTTCTTTCAATCATTCAATTTGAATTTTGCAATATTGGATTTATCATTAAATACCTATTAAAAACAACAAGCAATTTAACTTACCTTCAAATTTATTTGTGTTCTATTCAATCTTCTCAAAACTTATAATTTTCGGCTATAGCATGATTATATGCTATATAATATAATAAACCTATAATACTATCATTCTTTCAATTATTTGAAGAGAAAACCGAAAAAATCTATTTTCGGTCTATAACATGTTGCTCGGGTTATCTTTTAGTCGAAAGAGATTCTTTATTTTATTTTTATGCTCATTGGCCATACTAGATTATTTTGACGTTATTAAATAAGATCTGGAATTTTTGTTTGAAAAAGCGCGCCATTTTCAAATTGAATGATCTCTTCATATAATATTGTTGGCCAGATTCACAGAGGCTCTTCTGGCATTGTATATAAGGCTACAGACTCCAAGACAAACGAAACTGTTGCTTTAAAAGTAGTTAAAATGGATCAAGAAGAAGATGGTGTAACGGTTTCTTCAATGCGTGAAGTAAATGCATTAAGAAATATGTCCCATCCAAATATTATTACATTACGAGAAGTTACGACAGAAAATGAACAACTCCTAATAGTTTATGAGTTCATGGATAAAGATTTACGAGATTTTTTAACAAAATCCAGAAAACCACTCGACAATTCATTATTACAATCATATTCTTATCAATTGCTATCAGGAATCAACTATATTCACAGTATTGGTTTCATCCACCAACAAATTGAACCGTCTAATATCTTGATCAACAGGCAAGGTCTACTAAAGATTTCAGGCTTTGGAAAGTCTAGGACCTACCACCACCCAATGACAAGAAATATTTTAGCGATTCCGGTAATTTGGTATATGGCGCCAGAATTACTTATTGAAACAGATTATTACGGATTAGGAATAGATGTTTGGAGTGCTGGATGTATAATTGCAGAAATGGTAAGAGGAAACGTTCTTTTTCCAGGTGATTCTCCGGTTGACCAAATTGTGCATATTTGCAAGGCTCTTGGTACTCCTAGCAAAGAAGATTGGCCAGAGTTCCAAAGTGCACTATCAGATGACATCACTTTACCTCAAGCCGAAAATTTTGCAAGTTATTTCCAAAATATTAATCCAGATCTCCTTGACTTACTTCAGAAGCTCTTAACGATGAATCCTTCAAAGAGAATTACTGCAAATGAGGCTCTTCAGCACCCATATTTCAAGAATGTTCCTCAGGCACTTATTGACTTGTGCTCATATGGAGCGTAATGATAGAGGAATCCTATGTGACACATTCTTTGATATTAAAATGACTCTTATTTGCATATCTCTTAATAATGATATTAGTTTTTAACTATCTGGATTCCTTAAGAGTGTTTATTTGTATATTTCTTGTTATTGGATGTATTTTCATGTAAATTCTGTGTTTATAGATCTCAATTTTTTCAATTTTTCTTTTACGGCCTCAAATAAAACAAAAGCAGTTGTAAATCTTATTTACACTACAATTCAGGCTATGTTTCCTCAAATGCAATTATGAATTAATTAATAATTTGATGGATCTGATTCATGAATCATTGAATATAGTTGAACTGCTTGGAAATCATACATATATTAGCTTTTTATTTTAAAATCTACATGAGTTTTCATCAGCGTTATATATTTGATGCTGGGGAACAATATTTCATTTTATCCTAAAACTGTAATAAAAGTTTTTTTAATATTTAGAACTTCCAGAGGTGAACGCGGTCTCCCTTCTTTATCTTGAATGGAGCCTTAAGATATTCGACCATATGAGGAGTCTTCATTGCTGCAGCCAAAATTTGGCCTTCTGTGGAATTCTTTGCAATATCAAGCTTAGTTGAAGTTGCAATGAGATAATCCTGTGAGATCTCATTTACTGGAACGTGTGGTCCGGCAATTTTAATGATTCCATTACCCTTGAGATCAACAACTACAGCGCGCTTTCCTTGGTTCTCTCCTCCAACAACAATAACAATTGTACCAATCTGGAATGAAGGACGAGTTTCAACAACTGGTGGCTGACGATCCTGCTTTGTTGGCTTTTCAACTTGGGTGGCAATAGCTGGGCGAGTGAAGGAAATGCGTGGGATTCCTCTCCAAGTTGGCTTCTTCTTGTCTTTCTTTTCGATTGGATGGATGAAGAGGATTTCTGTCATCAAAAAGGCCGACGATTAAATTTTTGAATAAATAAAATTTTAAATCCTTCAAAGAATCATGAGCTGCAAATGTGGTGCATAAAAAATAAAGTTACAGTTATTTTGATTTTTCAATGAACCTTTTGTAATCCATAACACATCAAAATTTAAGCTAATATATACCTTAATAAGCGATGTTGCATAAAATTTGTAATTTCAATGTCTCTCAATTTTGAGCTAAAATATTTCTCAAATGACACTTTTAGTCGGGCTATTTCAATTTAAAAACATGATGAAAGACATATATAACAGAAAATAATGTATTTTATACAATAATGAATACGAAAAATAAAATCACATTTTTTCCATGAACTTGCTGATTTTATGCAATTAAGAGTAATGAAACATATCTGGGCGCGTAAAGGGTTGGCGTCCTAAGGCGTCCTGATGTAAACTATTCAATTTTTGAGAAGTTTACGCCATAATTGAATAGTTTATGGCGTCCTGAGAGGAGATTTCAACGGGTATGGCGTCCTAAAAATAGAAGAAAATGATTTTTTCTCGATTTTTCTAGAAATTGAATTTTTTAAAAAAGAAAAAAAACAAAACGTATACATTCAAGAAAGACTATAAATGAAGATTTTCTATTTTTTTTCATTCTAAAACATCTTTTTTTGGATAATTTTTTTTAATAAATATGTAAGAAAGATTGAAGAAAAAGTAAATTTACTTTAAGAAAATTCGTTTTACATGATGTAAGACCCATAACAACTATAAATATTCAATTATTTAAAATAAAAAAAGAAAAACAGATTAAATGTATCTCACATCAAAACCCATTGACCTAAGGATGTTAAGTTTCTGTTTTTAAAAGTTGATATTTTTTTTTTAATTTTAAGAAAATTAATAGCATGTTATTAGACAATAGGAGTGTAATGATATTGACTAAACAGAAATGAGAGAATAGAGATATAATTTTGATAAGCAATATTGCGAACAAATTCTGAAGTAAAATCGCGATCAATAATTGAAAATTACGATCATGTACTGAAAAATGACGATCGAATTGAATGAATAGAATTATATCTAAGAAAAAATAAATTGTATTTAGAAGATGAACAAAGAAAGGGGCAAACCCAAATTTTAGCTAAAAGTGACAGGGGAAAAAACGTTTAGTATTAAAAAAAAAGACCGATGAGAGCTTCGTTCGAAATATAGAGGGAACTGAGAATGCGCAACCATTCTCAGGGAATATTGGATGCTATTCCCGTTCCCTCTGTATGGAAAATTGAGGTTTTCAAAGGGAGTTAAAATAATATCAAATTTATACTAATTTACTTCAAAATACAAAAGTATTTGACAGCTAAAATTAGTTACTTTAGCAAGCCTATCAATACCCTTTTACGATTATTGTTACTTTTTCGAAATAAAAGTAAAAACAAATTTATACTAATTTACTTCAAAATACAAAAGTATTTGACAGCTAAAATTAGTTACTTTAGCAAGCCTATCAATACCCTTTTACGATTATTGCTACTTTTTCGAAATAAAATAAATTTATTATCAAAAACTTTTTTTTTTAGTAAAAATAAACGAAATTTTTTACCTTATGAACTTTTGATGGAAATATGCAAATTTAAAATAATAAAGAAAGCCGCGAGCGAAGCGATCGGCTTAGTTCGAAGATTTTGATTCAAATCTTTGCTGATCTGTAATTCGTGGAAGCCGCGAGCGAATCGAGCGGCTTAGGTCTAAGATTTTGATTCAAATCTTTGCTTATATTCCTTAAATTCTTTATGAAACTCGCAACAGTTCCATAAAAAATTTTAAATTCTAAACTGTCGAAATTACCGATCGGTAATCACACCCTTCACGGATGTGTCACTTTTACAGGCGTGTCACTTTTAGCTAAAATTACCCCTACTCTAAAGAAAGGTGTATGCTAAAAATCATTTAAAAAAAAAAAAAAAAAAAAAAAAAGAGGTAGTGGGGCTTCCAGGGGCTGCGCCCCTTCTAGCCCCGAAGATGTTTAGTATAAATGAAGTTCTTATATACGGGTCTTCCAGGAGCTTTTCACAAATTATATATGTTTTCATGTTTTGTCAAGACTTCTTCGTAAAATCAGACAAAAATAATGTTTAGGGTAGAAGGTTAGATATAACCTCTTTTCTAACCTCTTTTCTACCCTCTTGAATTTTCAAGACTTCTTCGTACATGTTTTGTCACTTTTCTGTCACTTTTCAGGAAAAAACATTTTTATTATATATATAAAATGAATTTTACAAAACCACCGTTACCCTTCTTTGGAAATAAGAGTAGATGTAAAGATATTCTATTGAGAGAACTTAAGAAACTACCGAATGGTCTAACATTTGTAGACTTGTTCGGTGGAAGTTTCTATATATCTCATTTGTGCCATACAATATTTCCTGACTCAAAGATTATATGCAATGACTTCGACAACTATATGAACCGTCTCAAACATATACCAGACACAAACAAAATATTGAAAGAGTTAAAAGAAAAGATACCTATAGGTAAGATGGAACGTATACCATTAGATAAGAAAAATACTGTCAGAGAGGTTTTGAAAAAGGCAGAGTATATTGACTGGGATAGTATATCTGCTAGACTATTATATAGTGGTGCTATAAGAGTTCATGACATTGAAACACTTATGTCAAAAGTTTTATATCTTAACTATACAAATGTTTTCAAAGAGAACATAGAAAAATATATTGAGGGTATAGAGTTTGTGAGATGTCATTGGACAGAGTTGTATGAAAAATATAAAGACAAGGAAAATGTTTTCTTTATAGTGGACCCGCCGTTCTATAACACATGGGATTTTCAATACCAAGTAGACTGGACTTTGAGAGACTCTTTAGAAACTTTAGACGTTTTACATAACCATCCATGCTTTTACTTTACATCCGATAAAAGTGGTTTGGAAAGTGTCATGAGATGGTTAGAGGACATACATGACTATGAGTTTAGATATGACAAGATAGAATATGAGAGAGGTCCTATAAACTGGAGAAAGTGTCATAACAAAGAAATTTTACTAGTAAGTAAATGTGGTTTGAAATAGGACTACTTGTTTTAGGTTTTTTCCATTGTGTCATTTACTTATTTGACGTGGCAGAAAGATATAGAGAATATGAAGATGAACCAATGCCTGCAAATGTTCAGTATATGTACTCGTAAGAGATATTTTTATCTAATATTAAATGGACGCACAGAACTTAGCGAATGCACAGCAACCTGGACAACCAAACCCAGAGAATATTCCAAATGAAGTTAGAATACAAACTGCAATGGCAAACTATGGTCAAGTGCCAACAGATGTACAAATGCAAACTGCCATGTCAAATGACGCTGCGTTAGGTTTGCCACCATGGTATGCAAATATGAGATGGAAAGAGTTTTATACAAACCCTGAAGTGGGATATAAACAACTTTATGCAGATGACGCGAACACAGGAGTTGACCCAGAATATGTTTTCTACCAGAGGAGAAATAGAATGTATGAGCTCCAGTTAAAGAATGCAATGGAACTCAGAAGGAAACGTAAGAGACTAGGCGGACATTAGATTTTTACATATAGTAAAATGGGTTTCTTTGGAAGAATAGGAAACTTCTTTCGAAATGTTGGAAGAGGTATATGGAATGGAATAAAAACCGTAGGAAGAGGAATTTGGAACGGAGTCAAAAATATTGGTAAAAGAGTAGGTCAGTTCGTTGGTATTATACCTAAAGACCCTGAACCAGAAGAACAAGCTCCTGTTATACAACAGCCTGAACCTGCACCACAGTCTAGTTGGCAACCAAATCCAACACCTCAACCGTATTAAAAAATTATATTTTTACCGTTCGATAGTAGTTGTATATGAAACTAAGTTCTAAGTAAAACGCGTGGTATAATGGAACTATTCTCTTTCTTCCATCTGTAGTAAACCATACTTGAAAGTCTGAAATACTTCCACTTGGTGGTTCATATAGCTTTGTAGGTTTTTCGTAAAAGTCATTTGCCAAGCATAAAAAAGAGTTTTGTGCACCAGAAAATGAAGCATGAACTATAATAGCATCTGGGTCGAAAACATTTTCATATGTTCCATTAGGGTTTTCGACTTCATAAAAGTCTGGGTGTACTGGATATGCTGCAGGCTGATTTAACATCCTCATAAATCTATACCATGCCAAGTTGTTATATTTTGTAGAAATATAAACGTCTTCTCCAAGGTCTTCTATTCTATTGAATTTAACAGTTGCATTTTTCCTGTCATATATAATATCGAGATGGTATTCTCCTTCGTCAATGTTGTACTGTTTTGCATATTCGAGATAGATATCGTTTATTTTTTCTTGAAAAGCTTGAAGAGTTGTTTCTAAGTTTACAAGCAAATTCACTTGTAAAAGTTTTCCCTGTTCAAATTTCTCATACGTACGTTTTTCTTTGTTATAGTATCGAACTTCAAAAGCGACCGTAAATGGGAAACCATGTATGGCTTCTGAAATGAACTTCATTCTACGAAAGCCAATAGCTTTTGTGACGGATGGGTCTCTTAACCATCTAAGTGGGTAGTCAAAACGATAGCCTTCATGCTTTACGGTCTCTGTCTCAAACTTTTGACCGACATTAGTAAAAAGTTCATCTAATGGTTTAGTTGTAGCAACTCTTGAATTTTCTTTTTCTATTGAAAGCATATTTTATCTAGAATAAAAATGTCGAAAGAAACAGCGTCTATGAGAGAAATACAACACAACCGACAACTCATTGTGCAAGCTCTAAATAAGAACACAACAAACTTTTCAAACTATTCTAAGATATCTGAGTCATTGAAAGAAGGAAACTTAAAACTGACGATAAACCCATTGACAGACGAGTTTCTGTTTCAAGACAGTAAGAACCATACTGTTTGTATAAATCCAACAAAAAGAACTTTAAACGAGAACCTATAGATGAACTTCTTTTGAAGGCAGATATTGACAACAAAGCTGACAAAGAGTATGTAGATGCA